CAATTACCTCGTCTCCGACTTGTGCTACACTACACATGTACGTGTGGGCAGTGTGCTTATGACCGGCTCCAGTTTAACAGCAGAGGTCTCACTCCGAATCAGTCGAGCGGCAATATCTTTTCATCGGTTGCGTAACGCTGTGTGGTGGAAGCTACCTGGTCTGTCGCTCCGCACGAAGCTTTGGGTCTTCTCGGCCACGGTCATTCCCTCCCTTCTCTACGCTTGCGAAACGTGGACCCCCCCCCCCCCCCCCTAATGGAACATCTTCGCCGGTTAGAAACATTTAGGCTGGCCTGCCTACCAGCCATCCTGGGTTTAACCAGGCTGGATTGTGTGAGGAGCTCACAGATCTCGGCAAGGTCCCATCGGTGAGCTCCTCCGGCAGGCAAGGCTGCGATGGCTGGGTCATGTAGCCCGCATGCCCAGCCACCGCATGCCGAAACAGCTTTTGTTTGGCCGGATTGAGGGGGCTAAACGGGCGCGGCACGGGCTAGAGAAGAGATGGAGTGATGTGGTACAGGAGGACGTGGAGCTGAGTGGACTTGCCGATGACTGGTACCAGCGGTGTCAAGATCGGCCTCTGTGGAGGAGGCTCGTGAAGGACGCTACTGGGCAGTTGGAGGCAGTCACCTTCCAACAACAACGGAGGGCGGAGGAGCGACGCTCACAACAACGAGCGGAGCGCCGGGTGGCTAAAGCACAGCAAGTTGGTACAGTAGGGGGCACAGGTGGTGCATCAGCCAGTCATCTCAGTCATCTCAGTCATCTCAGTCAGTCGACGCGTGGCACCTGGGTCTGCCCCGTGACCTGCCAGCGGGCGTTCGACACTTCACGTGGCCTCAAGGTGCACATAGCCTGGCACAAGCGTCGTGGTGACGTCACCGCCACTTAGTGGCGAATGGCGGTTGTTGTTGTGTGTACGTGCGGAGTGGTGGGGTGGCGGTTAGCGCTACGCTGCGCTACGGACCCGGCACCCCGAGTTCGATTCCCGCTCACGGCCAACGCCAATGACGATTATCTGAACCGATCCAGGGCCTCCCCTAGGTCGTCTCAGCCTCAAATCGGTAACTTGTGCGGTGTGTAAACATCGCCACTGGGGAGACAAAGGCGGCCGGGCGTGGTGCTGGCCACCCACCCCCTCGTGCGCCGTTCCGGCCTTCATAGGTGCTGCTCGCTAACAGCACTTGCCCCTAGCAGTCTGTTAAGGCTACACGGGGCTTCTTTGTCTTTGGGGCGTGAGAGGAACCAGCCCATCATCGCGCACCACGTGTTCCCGATTCAATTCGCGGTCTGACGCTCAAACTCTTCTGTGATTTGACGTCACTTGAAAAATTATCATCACTCGAAACCTCTTCAATTCAAAGTAAATTGTCCAAACCAACAAATCGTCGTTACGGGATATTCATTTTCTTAAATATGTATTTTTTTGTTCGTACAGTTTTTTTTTTAAGTGGTTGTGCTTGCCCTGATCTCTGCTTTGCTAGGTTTTTTTTTGCGATGTAATCGCTGAGCAGCACTTCATTTGCCTTAATTGCTTTTGAATAAACGCATTGTTTTGATTAAACGTTTTTTTATTTGTAACCAGGTAAGGGCACACCGAGCTATGTAGCTCGTTTTCAGAAGCGACCCGGCTATCACAAATTATAGCTCAACAAAGTGGTTCATCATCATCATCACGTGGACATTTACAGCAGCCTCGAAACGCGTGACGTTGATTCGGAGAACAATCCATGCGTCCACTGGGAGAGAGAGAGACACGCAAACTCCAAATATACAGCAGCAGGCCTCAGGGTTGGGATCGAACCCACGACCTCCTGTAGACCTGGCGAGGTAGTTAACATTTCCTAGCCACCGTGATGATGATGAGAGATACGCTGACTCCAAACATGCAGCAGCAGGCGTCAGAGCTGGGATTGAACCCACGACCTCCTGTATACCAGGCGAGGTAGTTAACATCTCATAGCCACCGCGATGATTGTGAGAGACAGACACGCTGACTCCAAATATACAGCAGGCGTCAGGGTCGGGATTGAACCCACGACCTCCTGTATACCAGGCGAGGTAGTTAACATCTTATAGCCACCGTGATGATGATGCGAGAAAGACACGCAAACTCCAAATATACAGCAGCAGGCGTCAGAGCTGGGATTGAACCCACGACCTCCTGTATACCAGGCGAGGTAGTTAACATCTCCTAGCCATCGTGGCGTCTTGAATGTGTTGCGCGGGCCACTGTTGAAAACGAGACTCCTCCTGCTCTCTTGAGTTCTCACTCAACAATGCTATACCCAAAATACATTTTGAACTTAGAGCTCCGTCAAATATATATTTTTAATTATCGAACAACATTTAGGTGGGGGTTAATGTGTAGTTTTCCGACAAGCTAAGGTCCTATGAAAGCCTCAGTATTGGCAAAAGACCTCTCCTTACCCCTGTCCTAGACGCATTCCTGCATCTGTCCCATGTGGCTTCACCTCACAACATTGCCACACGTCATACAATACAAATTATGGAAAATAGATCGCCAAATTAGCAGTTTTAATTATATGAGCATTAGCATATATATAGCATCCTTAATCAGGGTTATACAAAGTAAGGACGCAGCCGTGAAATTGCTGGCACACGTCACCACTCGCAGAAGGGCCTGGCAAGTGGCGTATTTGGCCTACTCTTCCCGGCTGGGCAGACGTCTTGGAGGAGATGAGAGCGCCCAGACTTTACCCCACCGATCGTCTGCGATGTTCAGCGCGCGAGATCGAAACACTCGCACGAAATGGAGGGGGGGTGGGAAACACGTGGCAAAAAATGTGCTGCTGAGCATTGGAGCAGTGCCGGATTATCGTAGTAGCACAAGTAGCTACATATGTAGTAGTAGTTACTACTAGCTACTACACGTGTGTAGTAGCTACTACACTCAGTTTTCAATCGAGATTAAGAGCTACTACATGTGTAGTAGCTATGGGCCCCGCGCTTGCAAGGGCCCCGCGCTAAATGCTTTCAAGCTATCAATTCCGGTTCAGTGATTCTGCACGTGCTCTATTACTATAGTACTTTACCACTTTTATGAACCACCGGGTGTTTAAGGTTAGCGATTTGTCGGTTTATCTGAGCTGTACAGCAAATGAAAGAAAAACAATTACTTTACTATGCAAGTAAAAAAAATGTGTTTTAATATTTACGTGTTTTTCAAAAAATATATTATTTCGGGCCCCTTATAACATCATCACATGCTACAGGCCCCGCACTTCGCTTCATCCGGCGCCGGGTGGGTGGGGTGGCCCATCTCAGTCCTCTCGACTCATCCAGAGCCGCGCGGTTGCCCTCCCCTGGAGTCCCCAAACGTGGCAATTGTCGGCGCCCCGCGCGGTGAATCGACGAACTCGAGGACGGCGTTTCGCCAGGCGTAGCGGAGGCTGCGCAGTTCCCAAGGGCGATGAATGAATTCGCCGGCGGCTGATGCGTTGGCTCCGCCGTTGCTTTCGCGGGCGCCGAGAGCGGCGCTTCCGGACGGCCATCCGAGGACGTCTGGAACGCACCAGTGGCTTCCGGAAGCCACTGGAAGCTGTGCACTTTTAAAGCCCGATTGGAAAACTCACTTCTTGAGAACTGCGTTTTTGTGGTTGGTTTGTGTGCCCTTCTCTCCCCGCGCACGTACGGTGCGAAAAAGAAGTTGGACAAACTCACAAATCGCTTTGCGTCATTCCACGAACGATCCTGAGACTGCGACGATTCAGAAGCGAGCCCGGGCTCCGACGAAATTGCGCACGATACGCTACGTCGACCTTGTGTGTATTGTGTGTTGAACTTCTTTCGCACCGTACGTACGCAGCCAACCGCGCCGCTCGGAGGCGGGGCGGAAGACCGACACGCGAAGCACAACAAGCGCTTCGAAAGAAGCGAGTTTTCAATCGAGATTAAGAGCGCGTAGCTCCAACGGCTCCCTTTCATCAGTAGGAGGAGGAGCGTTCCAGACGTGCCGCAGAAGCGCATCTGAAAGCGCAGCGCGATGCGGTGAGCGCCACCGTCCCTTGTTCGATGGCCGAGCCAAAAGATGTTCAACCACCAGAGCCGCTCGCTCGACAAGCTGAGCCGCCTTGCCACTCGACACGAGCCGGCCACACTACAGCAAAGCTAAAGACAAAGATCCCCCGTATAGCCTTTAACAGACTGTTGGAGCAAGTGCTGTTCGCGAGCACCTACGAAGGCCGGCACGGCACACGAGGGGGGTGGGTGGGCCAGCACCACGCCCGCCCACCTTTATCTCCCCAGTGACGTTGAATTTTACCCACACCGCACCGGGTACTCATTTGAGGCCGAGTCGACCTAGAGGAGGCCCAAGACCGGTTCAGGTAATCGTCACCGGTGTTTGTGGCCGTGAGCTGGAATCGAACTAGGGCCACCGAATTCGTAGCGCAGCGTAGCGCTAACCGCTGCACCACCGCTCCCTAATTCATAAAAAAAAGACCCCCGGTGTGACCTTAACAAACTGTTGGGGCAAGTGCTGTTAGCGAGCACACGCCAGGGCTAGGTGACCAACACCACGCCCGACCGCCTTTGTCTCCCCAGTAGCGATGCTTACACACCGCGCAAGGAACTCATTTGAGGCCGAGTCGACCTAGGGGGGGGGGGGGAGGTGGCGTAGCCAGCAGCGATTCAAATAATAGCAGCACATGCAATCACGCGTTGGTAACACACTCGTCGAAAGGAGACGACTGGAGTACCTCGTGCTTAACGAGACGTACAAAAACCTCTTCTTTTACAAGTTCGAGAAAGTTGATGACTGGGTGGGTGGGTGGGGGTGCCGGGGTGAGCTGCTGCTGCTGGGACTCGAGACGTCGGTCACATGACGGAGAGCCGCGCGCCTGTCAGCTGCCGAGCCTTGCCCTGGGAGTAACACGCGAAAGATGCAGAGAGGGAGAGCTGGGGGGGGGGGGGTGGGTTGGGGGGCAGGTTCGCTCTCTCTCTCACCCTCGCAGGGAGAGCGCTCGCGTTATATAAGGCGGTGTCAACGGAGCGAAGGTTTGGTGGCACGGCGAGAGGGTTAAAAGGTGGCATCTCTTTTTGGGGTTTTTCAGCTCGTCCGTCCGTCCGTTTCAGTCGCCGATGGAGCAAGCCGGCGTGTCCAAGTTGGCGAGCCTCGCCGTCGTCCTGTGGGCAATACCCATGCAGGTGACCTGCCTCAAACGTGAGTCCACCGCTGTCGTCCTAACGAGAAGATCCCACCACCACCACCATCGGCCTTTTGTTACACACTTTTATCGAACTTGGACCTGTTTGTCTGTTCATATTCTTTCAAATCTCTGACGCTTGTATATATGTGTGTGTCTTCGATGATATGGATGGGGTTTTTTTGTTGTTGCAGGGGTTTGATCGTGTAAATATAAAAGCGTCGTTAGACCCGCCACCATCCGACACAGCCAATTAGTAAGATTGCGTCAATTCAACAGAACGCGCCAATTCGTAACTAGTAGAGCACCGCCGGTTGTGTGTTGGGGAGTAGACCCACTACGACATTTACAATCTGAGCGCTGTTTTATCTTGGAATCTGAAATGTTGCACACGCAGACTCGGCGTCGACTCCCGTGACAAGTGAAAGATTTAATATAAAGTTACCGGTTCCAGGTCCCCTGCAGATCCTTGGGGGGGGGACCTCTCTTCGTGTTTTTTTTTTGTTAAACTTAATTTTTTATTGCACTGTTTCAAATGTATGACGATAAATTAGTTTAAAAAAAAAACTAAACAAAGACATTCCATGGGCACGCACTTTTATTTGCCCTCAAAAGTAGAACATACTTTCTTTTGACTCCCAGAATAAATCAAATTTGATGCGCCGCATAAATGTGGGTGGCTCGCACGAAGAAAATTAAACACATCGAAAGAAAACCACCAACTTTTATTCAGCACATCGAATTTGATTATTTCTGGGGTCAATATCATTTATTTTCTACTTTTGAGTGCAGATGAAATGTGTGTGCGTTGAAAAACTAAACATATTTACCCAATTATTTTGTTGCCAGGATAACAGTGATACAACAAAATGTGCTTCACCCTTTCTGGCACTGAAACAGGAGGTGTTAAGATGTTCCAACACCAAATAGACACCTTTTGCAAGGTATCAAGTCTGCATGAGTCACTCATACTCGTGGCAAAACATGCAAACAAACACCCTCTGATAATAATAATATTATAATATACGCATTGTGTTTGAAACTGATTGGCCTACAGCAGAGACGGCACAGCCAGCTTTATGGCCTAGTTTCACCGGTGTTAGACCAGGCTACATGTGTCCCATTGCGTGATCGCTACATTGATTCCAAAAACATTTTTTGGTAATTTGATTTAAAGCATTCGTGACTGCAGGGATTCATACTCTTGGTTCTTTCGGTAAAGTCACGTAGAAGGGAAACTATAAAATAATTAAAAAATGAAACAATAAAATTCTCACGACGTTTCGACTGCAACACAAGCAATCATCATCAGATGTGAAAACCACAACAAGAAAATTTGAATTTTTTTTGTGTGATCGGCATCACGCTCGCTGAAGGTGCATGACTTTTTTCAAATTTTCTTGTTGTGGTTTTCACACCTGATGATGAATGCTTGTGTTGCAGTCGAAACGTCGTGAGAATTTTATTGCTTTATATTTTTATTATTTTATTGTTTCCCTTCTACGTCATTTTTTTTCAGCCGAATTTATTCAAGAGTTCATATTTCGTCGGAGCGGTTCCGAGCTCGTCGGCAGAGTTCGCGTCTCCTGCGTCGAACCCGCGTAAAGCGAATTACGCTGCGCTTGCAATGGTTAGAGCGAGCGAGCGAGCGGGCGGGCGAGAACGTTTCTAGCCGCGTGCTTTCAACGAGTGCAGTCCATCACGAACGCGCGTTCATCACGCGTCAGAGCGGAGGCTCTCTGAAACAACAACAACAACAACAACGACGCCGTTTTTGAGTCTGTCGCTGAAAACTGGCTTCCCGAACCCACGAGCGTGGTAGCGTGTGGGCCAGGTCTTGGGGGGCCGGAGGTAACCCCTGCAAAGTGCTCCGGGTCGTGCTGCGGGGGGGGGGGGGGGGGCAGGCAACCCCTCCAGCAATGAAAAATGATAGAGGAGTTGTTAGTAAGTAAAGAGTTGTTAGTAAGTAAGGAGTTGTTAGTAAGTAAAGAGTTGTTCGTAAGTAAGGAGTTGTTAGTAAGTAAGGAGTTGTTAGTAAGTAAAGAGTTCATATTCTTAGTTTTTTCGGTAAAGTCACGTTGAAGGGAAACAACAAAATAATAAAATATATATAAAACAATAAAAAATTATCACGACGTTTCGACCATAACTCAAACGGTCATCTTCAGGTGTGTTGGTTTGCATAAATTAATTTTTAAACGGCGCATTTATTTATTTATAAAAAAAACGTTAGCGCCACGCGCAACGATTTGGCAGTTTATTTAGGACTAGTCCATCTATATTCTGAAAAGAGGAGGGGGGAGACGAATTTTTTTATAATGTATGCTGTCTGAAAGCCACTGTAAGCGTGAACAATCAATTAAGACCTGAAATGGTTTATCAAATCTTTCCAATGATTGCTAAGATAGAATCCATCTTCTCGGTTGAAATTGTCTCTGTGCTTGTATATGTGGATAGCCTCATGAACTAATCTCTCATGGAAGCCAGATGGCTTACAAAGAACCTCTGTCTTGGAAAAGTCAATGGCATGTGAGCCTACTGAATTAGAACAATGATCTGCCACGGCCGAGGTGTTGGTCCTACCGTGTTTAAGGTCTGCTTTGTGTTCACGAATGCGGTCCGAGACATGGCGTTTGGTTTCTCCAATGTAACTACTACCACAGAGGCAACTTAGTTTGTAGACACCAGGGTATTGTATGTCCGGAATCACATCTTTTACAGACGGAACCAGATCACGGATTTTATGTAATGTGTTGAAACGGACCTGAATCTTGTGTTTATTCAAGATTTTGGAGATCTTTTTTGTGATCCCCGCAATGTAGGGTAAAGTGATGGTTTTGAAAGGCTCCTCAAGAGGGTTCTTCTTCATGGTTTGAGTGATAGCTTTGCGGATTGTATAGTCGGAGTAACCATTAGCCCTAAGAGCTTGGTGTACGTGCTTGAGTTCACTGCTTATGTGTTCCTGGTCGGATATGCATTGGGCTCTATGATACAGAGTCTTGATGAGAGAATTCTTCTGTGATGGATGGTGGTGGGAATCCGGTTTCAGATAAGCATGGTCGAAACGTCGTGAGAATTTTTTATTGTTTAATATATATTTATTATTTTGTTGTTTCCCTTCAACGTGACTTTACCGAAAAAACTAAGAATATGAATTACTGCAGTCACGAAAGCTTTAAATCAAAAGTAAAGAGTTGTTCGTATGTAAGGAGTTGTTAGTAAGTAAGGAGTTGTTAGTAAGTAAGGAGTTGTTATTAAGTAAGGAGTTGTTAGTAAGCAAGGAGTTGCTAGTAAGCAAGGAGTTATTAGTAAGTAAGGAGTTGGAGTTATTAGTAAGTAAGGAGTTGTTAGTAAGTAAGGAGTTATTAGTAAATAAGTAGTTGGAGTTGTTAGTAAGTAAGGAGTTGTTAGTAAGTAAGGAGTTGTTAGTAAGTAAGGAGTTGTTAGTAAGTAAGGACTTGTTAGTGAGTAAGGAGTTGCTAGTAAGGAGTTGTTAGTAAGGAGTTGTTAGTAAGTAAGGAGTTGTTAGTAAGTAAGGACTTGTCCCTTGATTTTTATTCGACGCGTGTGCGGCCATGGCACAGCCATCGATCGAGGGTCGAATTGGAACCGCGTTGTTAGTGATCGGCATCGCGCTCGCTGAAGATGTCGATGTCTTCAGGGAAGTCGTGGACTCTGTAGACGCGACTGGGCACAATTCTGTGAGTCACTTATAACTGCTTTGCCGTTACTTATTGCCAATTATGGACTCAGACTATTGTCCTATCATCTCATAGAGTCCCTGGCACGTGATAATATGCTACACAGTGGCAGTGGGGGTCGCAAAATGCCAATTTATTACTAATAAACCCCAATGATCCGATCGAAATTAAGGATTTCGATCGGATCATTGGGGGGGCATGTACCACCCCCTCCCCCGCAGATTGTAGTCGGGGTCCCGTAGACGGAGAGGTCGTGACAGACCCGGCAGCAGCGGTCGGGGTTGTTGTTTTTTTTTAAACCATTGCTTCGGTTCAGCCGAGCGCGATTCTTATCAAAGCGTAGGACGCAAATGGGGTCACACTCCGTCATTATGTGACGGTGCATATTCTCAGGTCGGGTGGTTGACCCTACGTGCCAGGTGAGTGTAGGTGTCGTGACGGTACAGGTGGGTGGATGGCATCGTTCGTTTCTCTAATTATTTTATCCCGCGCCGTCAGCTACTTTTGGTGCGAGTTTCTGAATGGGATGGGGCGCTAGAACACGGCCAGTTCATGTGCTGGTTTATTTTTGCCTCTGGCCAAATCGCGTGCAAGTGTCCAGCCTAAAGTGCGAATTCGACAAATTCGTCAACAACACTACGACCCGAAACTAATATTTATACGTGCGGTGTATCGAAAAGATGTACGTTTGTTGATCTTATTTCGCACCGTACGCAGCCGACCGTGTTAATCAGAGGTGCGGGGTAAGTGCACAAATTAAACACAACAGGCAGTTCTCAAGCAATGAGTGTTCAATCTAGCTGATTTAAAAGTGCTTAGCTCAAGTGGCTTCCGAATGTGTGAATGTGTACGTATGTTGAACTTCTTTTACGCCGTACGTAGCCAACCGTGCTGATCGGAGATGCGAGGGGAAAGACAGCACACAGGGAAGCCACGGTGGCGAGATGTTAACTACCTCGCCTGGTGCACAGGAGGTCGTGGGTTCGATTCCAACCCTAACGCCTGCTGCTGTATATTTGGAGTTTGCGTGTCTCTCGCTCTCAGTACTGAGATGGTAACTACCTCGCCTGGTACACAGGAGGTCGTGGGTTCGATTCCAACCCTAACGCCTGCTGCTGTATATTTGGAGTTTGCGTGTCTCTCGCTCTCAGTACTGAGATGATAACTACCTCGCCTGGTACACAGGAGGTCGTGGGTTCGATTCCAACCCTAACGCATGCTGCTGTATATTTGGAGTTTGCGTGTCTCTCTCTCTCTCTCAGTCCTGAGATGTTAACTACCTCGCGTGGTATGTAGGAGGACCTGGGTTCGATCCC